AGGCAGGTGGGCACTGGGCTGGCGACCCCCCCAAAAACCCTCCCCATAGCTCCCCCCACCCCGCCTCACCTGCGGGGCCGGGGCAACGTGCTGGGAGCCCAGGAGCAGGCGGGGGAGGTTGCTGGGCAGCCCCAGGCGCTGGAAGTACCAGACGAGGTTCCAGTAGATGATGGGGTGACTGTCCACCAGCTCCGGCTGCGCCAGGAACTCGCCACCTTCGTTCTCCACCAAACTTTCCAGCTCCTTCCGCAGCACCAATGGGCTCAGGTAGGCGAAAGCCACCCGCTCCGACCTCCGTGGCACCTGCGGGAGAGGTGGGACACACACACACCCTGCTAGGACCCCCAGCCTGCCCACCGTGTCCCCCCTCACTGTGCCCGGCACCGTACCGCCGCGTCCAGGCAGCCGTTGCAGAGCTCCGGCTCGGTCTCGTCCAGGGCCAGGCAGCGGCGACGGTCACTGAGCACCGGTCCCTGCGTGGCAGGAGGGAGGGAGCCATCCTCGGCGGCACTGCACGGTAAAGAGGGGGGGTTATGGACACAGGGGTGGACAGCGGGGAGGACACGGGATGCTAGGGATTTCCCCAGAGGATGGAAGGATGGGGGGAAAATGGTGGACAGCAAAGAGGGGGTTTGGGGACATTGGGGACACCAGGGGGGGATGCGGACATTAGGGTTTTTCCTAGAGGATGGTAGGATGGGGGACACCAGCAGGTAGCAAAGAGGGGGGCTGGGGACACTGGGGACACCTGGGTGGATGTGGGACATGAGGGTTTCCCCCCAGAGGGCAAGTGACACTGGTGGGCAGCAAAGAGGGATGTTGGGGACACTGGAGAGTGTGTGGGACGTGAGGGTTTTTCCCCAGAGGATGGAAGGACAGGGGACACTGGTGGGCAGCAACGAGGAGTGCGGAGGACACCAGGGAGGATGGGGGGACATTAGCGTTTCCCCTGGAGGACAAGGGACACCAGGGTGCGAGGCTCCTGCCAGGCCGGGGGTCCTACCTGGGGGGCGGCTGGAAGTCCTGGATCTCGATGCTGAGGAAGGGGACGAAGGAGCGGCCGCAGAAAGGGCAGGTGGTGTTGAGGTTGGAGTCATCGGAGGTCCAGCCGGCCATCACCTCCTCGTCGTACACCAGCACGCCGCAGCCCTGGCACCGCGAGCAGCTGGACAGCAGGACCTGG